CACGACCCCGTCTTCCAGCCCGCCAATCAGCGGACGTGAGCTGATTTCAAAAGATTCCGTCCGCAGCGCTATCTTCGTTCAAAGCTATTGTGCGTATTGGGAAAGTCAGAATTTCGATACGCCAACTAGTGACAGAAAATGAAACTACTGAGTGTAAATCAAGTATCAGAAAAAAACAGTGTTTTTATATTTGTTGTGTTACTTACTGCTTTTAAATTAATCGGTATCATAACGGTCATAATTATGTACACAGTTATAAAAATGTACACCATGAAATGTACTCGTAGAAAAAATAAAATATATAATTCATTTCTCCATCTCCTGCTTTTTTTTCGTTAAAATAATTTCTGTCATCAAGTTTTGTAAATATTCGTTGTATAGAAGTTTCAGCTCTACATCCTTATTATCAGCACTTTCTTCTATGGATTGCTGGTGAGAGCATCAACAATCGATCGGTTGCATGATTCCTTAAATGATCTGTAGTAATGAAGTAATAAATATTTTGTATATTCTGAAAGTTCATTTTATTAAGAAATTCAAGCAAAATTCCTTACTGTATGGTAAGAAGGATTCATTGTTGACCTGTGTCGAAAGGTGCGGTCTTACGTATGGCATCTGATGTGTTTTGTCTCTCTGGTTCCATTACAGAAGCATTAAGTAACCTAGAGGTATCCAACAAATGTTAAATAATAACTGATAAGAAAATATAAAATGTTTCATGTTTACCTCTATTTCGATTCTTTCTTGGTGGTTCCATCTATTTACGTCTTTTACTATATAGATATTATTTTTCCTACTTCACTACAAAATCATGCGTTATATATCTTGATACTATTAATGATTATTTACATACAGTCAGTATAAAGAATGTTCAAATCAGATTGGAACTTAATGTAAGAAACCACACAACAATGTCACGAAATTGGCAGTTAAAATCGTTTTGAATAATTTCCTGAGATCAGTGTCGCCGGTGTCGCCCTCTGAGGGTATTTAGTATATTTGTAATTTCTTAACGGACTGATAACCTGCTGATAACAGTTATACTGAGTCTATTTAGAGAATTATTGAGATTTCGATAATATGAACAAATATATTGTTGTACACTGAATTGCATTTGAATCGTATTAACGTTTAATTATAGTTATACAATAGTTATACAACATTTTTCGGATTACATACTGTACAACATGAATAAGGTATAAATTATAACCATACATTTTACATTACATTTCAAAAACCACAGTATTTGTTACTGATTATTGAATGTTCTTATCGGTTACTCAATATTTGAACAAATTAGATGTTACTGTTGCTGTAGAAAATTTATAATTACGAAAAACGTTATTCCATTGAAATGAATTATTTACTTTTTAACAGTGTATTCTATTTTTAACTCTGTAGAAGTGCTCAAGTACATAGTGCCATAGATATTTATACTTATGCCACAATTGAATTTCAGTGACTTTATTACAAATTTATTTGATATTAAATGAAACTAAATTCCTACAAACATAAACATTACCTTTTTCTCTTTTAAATGAATTATCAAATTAAATTGTGGATATATGTATACTATTATTATCTAAAACTAATTTTTGTTATCTTATAGAATAAACGAGAAGTTCCAGCACTGCTGACAATGATATTAGACATTGATAAGAAAGTAACAAAAAATTTTGTGAAAATTGTGGAGAACTTTATGCCTATGAAGCAATTAAAAACGCATTACACAGCATTAGAGGTATGTATATTAATTACTTCATTTTTAAATAAATAATAAACTTTTTATTTTTAAAATAACATTACAAGTAAACTCTAATAATAATTTTATTGTTTGTTATGTTTCATTTGATGCATAATGTAATTCAGTACATCCATAGGTGTATGTAATATTTTATAATAAGTTTCATATAAAGAGCATATCCGTTGATCATATCTAAGACTAATTCCTTTTATAAGAGCTACATGTATAATGAAGTCATTAGTCAAAGTAGAAGAAATGTGATGTAAATATGAATTGAGAAATTAGTTCTCACATTTTGATACAATATTTGTTTTTATAATTTTACTTGAATTCTTCGTCTATCTATATACATGTACTTTATACTTACCTATGCAGATATCATGTCATGGGATACCATGGATTGTATTAGTACTTGCATCCATTTGGATTATTAGTAATAAAAATTTATACCAAATGCAAATAAATTTATTGATAGGTGAGCATAATAATTGAATAATAAATACACCAGGTAATATAATCTAATTAGTGTATAAATATAATAATTATAGTTAGAGAATATTTTTAGCTCTATTGTTAGACATTGTGATCATTGGATTATTGAAAGCAGTTACAAGACGAAGACGTCCTGCAATTAACACTGATCCTTTCGCAATGGGACCTGATAAATATTCATTTCCATCTGGTCATGCTTCTCGACCAATGCTATTATTGTATTTCTTTTATTACTTGTGGCCTGTACCTGTGATTTGCATCCCACCATTAGTAGCATGGCTTGTTGCTGTAGCTTTGTCGAGGCTCTTGATGAGAAGACATTACATTCTTGATATTTACGCAGGTTTAGTTATAGGATATGCTGAAGGAATTCTCATGAGTATTTTGTATTTAGAACCTGGGACGTGTTTATATTTAGTCTCGTGGTTAACAGATGTGAGAATGGATATTGGAGACTCTGCTGAGTAGTTGTTGGTTCTTTTTATTTCATGTTTGTTATTTTTTATTATGTGATGCAATATTTTAGTGTACTTTTGTTAGAAACAAATAAGTCAAACTGTTAAAGTACCAAGATAGAAAAAGTTCTACCTATAATATTGAATCCAAGACTGCTAAAAACATATTGAAGAAATTGCATGTTCAATTTTTGTCAGTACTTATTTCTTAAGTCAGCGTGTATGGGGAAAGGTTATAGAGGTTACTGTATTATAAAATAAAAAGTAATATTTTTTACCTTATCCGTTTATTCTCTTTTCATATAATATAATTCTTCCAACAGTGGCGACTCCACTTTTATACGGGTCATTCCACCCCAAGCGGATCACTTTTGTACACGATGTCTGGGATTTTGTTCAAATTGAAATATGCTATACTTCATGTCAAAGTGAGGGAAGTGTAAGTCATCAATTTGCTGGTTTCGGAATTGTTTAAAAAACACAGACTCTAAAAATTAGCATGTTTTGCCGATTTTTACGAAAACTACCATCACAAAAGAATTTTTCTCTCAGCAACTATTAGAAACAAGAACTTGATTCCTCTTTTGCTTTGATCGTAAAAGATCGTTCTTTGTAATGAATTTTTTGTTTTCTACGTAAAATATAACATATCTAATAAATCTTCTTCACATGAAATATAACATATCTAACTTTGAGCGAAATCGCAGATACCGTGCACAAATGTAATCCGCTTGGCGTGCAATGACCTATGCTTCAGTGGTATCCCATCATCTCAAGTTCAAATGTCTCTTACGAAGTCGGCAATAGAGTGTACAAAATTTCCCAAGCATGACTGATTAATATTTTGTATAAAAAGTGTTTTTGGTTCTAAGAAAGCATTGAATATAATGAAAATAAAAATACAAAAATTTTAAAAGAAATAAATAAACCACATAACAAACTTATTATACAACTTGATGTATGTATAAAATTACTATCCAGTTTACGCATGGTTTCTACGTGATTAACATGTACTAGATTTAAAGTCATTCCTATTCAAACAACAATTTGAATACTACAGTCATTCCAAATAATGTAAATATACTTATTCGAATATTTGTACCAGGAATTAATACCTTCCCAATTGCATTCAGAACAATTATGTATACAGATTTTAGTCTAAATAAACAATGAAAATAATGAAATACAGAAAACAGTTTACAATATTTTTTTATGACTGATTGAAGTGTGAAAAATAGATTTCATGTTTCATTTCTGTATACCGTAAATCCCCAACGTATAATAAGGAAGTACAACTTCCATTAACTGATACACGCATTTTTAAAACTTTATACACGAAAGAAAAATTCCGTAGTAATAATACATTGCCGTTCTTATAGTCATCATTTCAATAATATTCGATGACCATCAATTTTGTTATTAGCTGACTTTTCACATGTATTTTGTCGTGAAAAGTAAACCTTCTTATACTTCGTCACATACACAAGCAATACAATTTTCCAATACAATTCCTCTAAGACTGTTAATAAATGTAAAACATTTCTATTCAGAGAAATCCTTAGCTTCTCACTTTCTTCAGTTGCTTTACCATAATGGTGAATGGTAAAATTTTAGGTCCAGTCGGGAGTGTTGATTAGTACCAGCCACTTCTTGGCTACAAGAAGGCGATGGTTTCACGTTCTTTTCAGTTTTCTCTGTTTCCCGTAAAATAGTAGCGAGGGGGGTGGGTTGGTGGTCGGGTAGAGCAGGTGTCGGAACCGTGGATAACTCGCTTGTGCGATACTTCTGTTCTTCTTCGGAGTAAAGACTTAAAGAACGTGGTCGTTCTGGTTTCGAATGTGTTGCAGCAGGTGTGCTCGGTTTTTCACTGAAAAAGTAACTTTCCATGAAGGTGTAGTCAAATCACATCGAAGAATATTGACATTACATTTTATAATTATAATTTCTTGCTTCATACAAATCACTTAAATCTCAGGAAAGTCACAATAAATTTATTATACGTGCACACACACAAATGGCCAAATGATAAAATTCTGTCTATTTCGAATGTTTCAAAGTTTCGATCTCTCGATATCTAACAGACTGAAAGAAACAAAAATAGACAGAACCTCTTCACTCACATGTGACAATTAGACAATTAGAATATGTAAGTTTTGTTTCTGTAAGGGACAAAGTTTCTAAGATTGTTGTAAAAAGATACTTCTTTCCTTTTAACTGAAAGTATGGATATTACAGTTTCATTATTGTTGTATTGTTTGTAATATACTTCATTTCTTACCGTCGTAATCACAAGATAAGATACATGTATATTTGCAATCTAATAACAGAAAATTTATCATGCGGTGACCTCAGATTTAGCATGTGACACAAATCATAAGTTACTTACGCTGCAAATAAGAACAAAGGGAACGTGTTGCCGGTGTGCAGAGGATTTTGAGGATATGTATTGAACTTGTGTTTTCGTGGGAGTGGATTCGCTTAATATCTGCCAACGAAAAGGGAATGAATATAAAACCATGCTTAGCATTCAGTGAAGACTTTTTAATGATATGCACAGGTGCAATTAACGGATAAAAATAATAGTATACATATCACAATAAATAATGTACATACATACGTACACGTGCACAATGTACCAATACAAAATATATTCTTAAGAAATCAAACGTCTGTGCGTTAAAAACCAAATGTTGCTGCGATACAATGACCGTGTGACAATTACAGTTCCAGTTATTCGTTTCGAGAGAATTAAACCCAATACAGCATTTCTTTCGATGCATAATAAATTCATTCTCGTATAAATAAATTTATTATGTCGTATCTGACTGTTTTTTTTAACGGAGTCGATATTTCTTTACAGTACATCGATTCATTTTAAATGCTATAATGGGAATAAAATTTTATATATGTATACATATTACGTATACTATACAATGTGTCGAACGTTGAGTCAACGATCAATCCAGTCACTGAACAGCAATAACTTTGAATACAACGATGACATAACGAAAGATGCAGAATCGATACTCCAATAGCTATTTAGGAGGCGAAATATATATTAAAATAAAACGTAATAATACATCGTCGAGATCCTTATTGACAAGACAAAATAAATTCATTCATTATCACTATTCGACATTTCCGGTTGATGGTGTTCAACTGAAACGATTATAACTTACGGAGATACAAATGAACAAAAGCATCAGGAAACATTCAACACGCGCTTGAATGTGTGCTCTGGCAAGAGAGGTAGCGTGTACGCATTCACAGTGTAAAAAAAAAAAGAATTGGTGAACGCCGCGCTTTTGCCAGCATTAAAGTGTTATTCATTTCTTCCTTAACTGTTTTAACAGTCGGACGAGGTGTTTCGGAATCTCAAATAAACGGTTAAGTTATTGCGTAGCGAGACAAAGCTTCGTACATATAATTTAAGAAATAATTTAAGAAGTTATCAATTCAGGAAAATAATTTGAGAAATTATTTGCCTAAAATAACTTTAATCTAGTTGTCGAAGAAATTAATTAAAGCTTCAACGTCAGGCGTCTGCGAGAGGCTCGCCTCTCCGAGGTACGAACACAGAAATTAATAGCTAATTAATTTAAGCAGCTTGCACGATCGTTCAACGATCTGGATGTCTATCTTTCGATTTTACTCACCCAGTACGTTCTGCCGATGGACCAAGCACAGCAGTGTTATGGATTATCTAAAAAGAAAGCGTTAATGCGTCTTTAGTTGTGTTACACTATACTGTGAATGTTAAGACTCATGAGATCATCCCCTTTATTATTATTAGTGATTAGTGTGTCAAGTTTTATGAAAAAAAGTTATGAAAATTATAGGGGTGCTTAATTGTATTTTTTATAGGTGAAAATGCACTATGTTTTTGTAAAGCTGAAATACAATGCTCAAAACAATTAGAGGATCGTGTTTAATAGTAATAGAATTGGGTCATATTTTATGTTTCTTGAAAAATGAAAGATTCCAAGATTTAAAATATGGTCACTATGTTGATTCAACACACAATCTTCCACTTCCAGTAATGACATTACTTAAATAAATAATCCTCTAATCACCTTGAAGCACGTAAAGTAGTAAACGTATAATATAAAATAAAAATTAAATACACAGTATTTCTATCTTTTATCTTACAAAAGAGTTGAATGTTACAAGTAAAAAGTTTGGAGCGTTGCTGATAAATTATACAGTAGATCTGTTTATTGTTGGCCACCAAATTCCTATGGTGTTGTACTTACATTAGCCATCGAACAAGGTGGTCGTGCTGCAGCGTATCTGCCAAATGAACTGCGTGTAACAGATGAAGGATACTGAACGCCATTCATACTAGAAAAGAGTGTTAAAAATTGTATAAAGCATGTTTGTATCGCCCCAAAATATTTACAAAAACGAGTTTTCACTCGCATCTTCGGGTTTATTCATAACTAGGAAATGAAGCCTTCAACGCAATTTTGTTATTCTTGATCTTTATGTTAATTGGGCAGATTCAAAGTATACAATATAGAGAATGGCGTAAAGCTTTCCAACTACTAGGCTCCAAATGATTATGTCTTTAAACAATTTGGAAATGGAATTAACTATCAACAAACATAAAAATGTATACAGTCTTCTTTCTCAAGTATTAGAAACTATCAATAAGGTAGATGTCTCGCAGTTAGAGGCATATTATTGTCTGACAATGATTGCATAATCCCCTGACTGTTTGAGAAGTTTAGTCTGAACAGAGTACATACTACTTCAAATGTTTCTTACTGCTCGCAGTCGAAATGTGTATTGTATATTGTATGTATAATAAAACTGGCAAGAATTATTGGAACTTCGTGATAATTGGTGTAACATACATACCCAGAATTACTTTTCCCGACATTATTATGAACATTATTTTGCCCAGAGATGTCCAGTTTAGGGGGCAAGCTGTATCTATTTGACCTCACATCCTGGCGTTCTAAAACACGAAAAACAACCAAGTTATAAAAGTGAATTATAAATTCCAATTAATAAATACAGAAAAGTTATCGCTGGACTATAAATACTTATACAAATTCAGGATTTTGTGGTCCAATTTACAAGAATCAAAGAAAATTTTCCTTACTGTATTGTTGGTACACAACAACTTTATAATATCAATTGTTATACATAACTGTGACGAAAGTAAAAAAGTTGCAACAAATGGAAAATGTCATTAGACCCTTATAAAATGTTAAAATATTCTTGTGAATCATTTATGTCATGTCACACACAAAAATAAAAAAAATATTTCATTATGATTGTTAAATAACATGGGAAAAGGGTTAAGTGTGCCGAACTCTGGGGAATCGTGTATGCTATAAGTGCATAAAATCCGCAGTCTAATGATGAGTGATGCTCCGAAACGAGTCCTCTTTAATTTTCGTATTAGACTCCAGTGGAGACTATGGTTAAGAGTGATCAATTTTCCCTCCGATAACGTTGGCCTCCGTCGTGGGAAATTGGAGCGGCTCGTTTATAATCGACAGTAAATTTATCGTTTGAAGACAGTTACGAATCGATCAGGCGAGTCGCATAATAGGGCCGTTAGTCGTGCATAGGATGACATTGACCGGAATTTTATACATCTCCCGGCGCGATTTACCGATTTAGGGCACGGGTTACTGAAGGACAGCCCACCAGACGAGTCTGACCGGCCTTCGTTCCGCCATTCTAGTACCTTTAACTTGAAACCAGACCGACAATGGGTTCATGGGCAGGCTTGTACACTCACGGCGGATACCTTGAAGACGGGACAAGCTGTTCGATTTATACGATCCTTGGATCGCTGTGAATTATACAACGTGCCCATAAAGTTTCTATTTTATAGAAATTGTCATGAAAAGAATGGAACTCCGCGAGGTTGTTGTTCTCTAGTAGCAATTATTGTTGGCATTTTGATGAAGTTTTGATGCAGTATTGGGTGGTAAATTTCTTGTTAATTAACCAACGTAATTGCTATTTGCATTTATAGTATTCTGATCATTTAAAATCGAGTACAAGTGGAAGCAACCAATAATAGACAGACGTACGAGTCAGTCACGAAAATTACCCAATTACACGTGTGTTAAAAAAATCTGCAATTTTCTCAGAAATTAATGTTCAATGCAAAAAGATTCAATTCCTCATTTTCGACAAGTATTACCATCTTCTGATTGGACCACAATTTCCTACAGCTTGAATAGAAGAAGAAGGCACATACCGTCGTCGAAGAATCCTTGAAAGACGACGAACTTATTATTCTGCGGTATTATTTTTGAGAGGCCGTAGTACTTGTCGAGAAAGGCTAAGAACTTCTCCGAAGGTCTATCGATCGCCAGCTTCACCGGCCTGATATTCTCTTCCTGGAAATTAAAAGCAACACCATCAAACGATTGTGAAGTATAATTGTCATTTACCTTCTTAACTCTCGTGCACGGTTCGATAAAAATATTTACAATAGTTAATAATATTTAAAACCGGAAAACTGTCGTTTATTGCTGTATGTGTATACAGCAAAGGTGGTTAAATTTTTGTTTAAACTTTCGATCAGTTAAGTCAGTAGGGTCATCGGTAGGGTTGGGCAAAAGCCACTTTTTTTCGTCCAGGGGGGTGGGGGTGAGCGCCTCCCTTGGCTACGTCAATGATTGTAAGGGTTTCAGTGATCTCGAAACGAATACAGAATTTTACCAAAAATAGCAAATCACTTATTGGTACACCCAATAATAAATATAATCTGTCGAAGGGTTTACGAACTCCTTCTGATTGCTTTGGTGGTTCTAGCATGTAATAAGGGGAAACATACCGTGGCGAAAGAAACAGTTTGAACGAGTTCAGTCACCTTTCGGGTTACCTTCGCCAGTAACGCCCACGCGTAACGACCTTTTGTCACGCTCCTATTTAAGATCGTTCGCTAATTCGCCACCGTAGGACTGATCGTTGCTCTTTCTTATCGTGACGGAGTCACGGGACCACGATTCGTCGCGTGCGAGCATTTCTACCCCGGCATTCGATATGTTTGTTGCGCGACTCACGAAACCGTCGACATTTCAATGATAATGATCTAGCGCCTGAACGATATCACAGGTCTTAATCTTGGGGAAAGTTGAAAAAAAAGAAAAATGATCGACAGAAGTTGTGTATTTCGGAAGCAGGTAAGATATAATGTTAAAAATCTTGTTAGATGATCCTTTACGTTAAATTATGTAAAACAATTCATACTGGCATCAAACTCGACAAATTTCTTATTTTACGATTACTGAAACCATATGGGCGCTTCTGTGGGATTTTATGTTGACTTTTAATTTATTGTACATTATATTACAGGCTGTTACAAAAAAAGGGTTTATAACTTCTAGGGTAGATAGTGCTCGACAAATGATGAAAAAAAAGTCCTGTAGGGAAACCAATAAAATTAAAACGTACCACTTTGGGAACACATTTTCAAGTTGTTATACTTTAAGAAAACACAATTAAGAAATCGATTTTCTGAACCCTTCAAATGGGAATACATCATCTTGAATCTTCTCGGCCCATCGGACCGCCTAAATTCTTTCGATTCGTAAAACGAGCTCTACCTGGAATAATAAATTAATGGAACCAGAGGAGAGAAAGAAGAACTACTAGAAAACCGTAGAGCCGTCGTGAAAAAAAGAGTGCCGTGAGATTGAAAGGATTGTGAAAAAAAGTCGGAACCCGCGTGTTCGTGTGGTCTCTGTGTACCCCAGATTCTTTTTTGCCCGATTCTGTCATGGTTCCCGCGTACTCGTCGGAATCGCAGCAAGTGCCTGGTCGGGGGCTTAGCGACACGTGAATTCGCCCCGCGTGGTCTCACACACACACACAGAAATGGCGGGTCTTTCGACCGTATCACGGCTCTTACGGTACTTTCCCGTAATTAATGCACATTAGCTTCACTCCGGGACGTTTTCTAGCGGCTGGGGAGAGGCATTTGCGCGAGCCAGTTTCCTTGTGTAGCACGATGAAAAAAGTTCGACTCGACGGAAATTATGGAAAATTATATCTGGACCCCACAGTGTATTAAGTCCACTTAAAAAAAAAATGTTTCCTGTATGAAATATTTCACTTTTTCCGATCGTAAAAATTATTTCGTTCTAAGTCGTCTAGTTTTTAATATATGTACGTAATAATTGAAAAATGATATTAAGTTCATATTTTTAAAACAGTGCAACGTTCACCAAATGGGGGAATTAATGCAAAGTTCACCATTTCTACATACACAGACTTGTTCCCTTGTCAGAGCGTCATCCTGACCTTTGAATAGTTGATCAGATTGACATTGAAACTACCAGCGTTGAATGTATAATAAACTAATTGGTTGAACGAAGTTTTAGTGTTTTTATTACTAGATTTCAGAGTATGTCAACAATATGTGATTAAAATACATTAGACTTAAAAATAAAGGTAGTCATTTTGATGAGACAAAAATTTGATAAAATCAAGTTTTTTTTACTACCTTTAAGTTGGTTTTGCCGTATACAATATATATTGTACATGTACAAGCCTTTGATTTTAATGAAAAAAATCTACAACTTGACTTCTGAAAATTTTGTTTAACTGCTTCCGAACTTTTTAGCGGTAGTGAATGTACAAAAGAGGAAAGAATTCACCGTTTTTCGTACTGAATGCCTACGACTTGAAACGAAAAATGAATTAATCTTATTGAGCATTTACTGTATGTGATCACATATGGGGGGGGGGGGTAATTTGTGAAGAGGTAGAGCCTTACTATATGTCCTGAAAGTTTCATTAAAATAGGCAACACGAAGTTGCAGCGATCCCTTTGTCAGTTATTAGGCGAAAAAAGGGGATTACTTACGGAAAGCATGTACTGATAGAGAATGTTCCCGAGACCCATACGTTGCCGGGACTCGTGCACGTAGAAGTCCAGGATGCATCTAGGCTTCAGCTGGTAATGAGCTCCTGTTTCGTCGAACATGAAGAGATTCTTCGATCCGGTCTTCAGCAAGCCCACCACGCTGCCCAGTCCGCTGTAAAATCGTGGCAAGATTAGTAACGCAACACGGACGATAATTCACGGTTTGCAGTCCACCATTCATGATCCGCTGTTGGTTCTAGATGTGGATGACCAAATGACCACCGGAATGACGATGCTTAGCTACTTCTATGCACGCTCGAGTGAGTCGAAGCCATTTCAGCCACCACTAAGAATTGGATCGCACTTAGCGTGAGTATTTGGGTCCAGTGGCCACGAAAGTTTCTCTTGATAATTTCGATGAATTGTTTTGACTTACAACCAGGCAACAATGTCTTCGCGCATCTTTTAAGACATTTTGTAAAATGATATTTTGCCTTTTTAGACAATCCCTTTCAACGTATTAAAGTTTAAAGAAAATCGGTGATACCGAATTGCACACTATTACCAGTCGTTTTTCTTCGAGAAAGTCGTCCGGACGTCTTATTAGTGTAGGGAAATCCGCGAGAGCGAGGCTCGTTTAGCAGAGCGGATGGGGAAGAGAGCTTCATACTCTGATTCACGCGACTTTTTCAACGGTTTATTGCCGTGCGACGGCAGTTACTCGTTATCGTGCAGGAAAAGCAAGTTTTCAAGGCGCACAGAAACCATTTACAATATTATTACCACTGGACATATTCGTTTGTACAAGTGTGTGAAATACAATGAAATAAAGATCCAATAAAGCTTTCATTTTATGTTTAATCTCTCGTGAACACCGAATAGAAGAAATAATTTTCCAAACTATTTTTAAGGGGATTTCCTCATTACAACGCGCCAGGAATAGGTGATTTTAAAAAATTTTCTGTATAAAAGTATAAAACATGGAGTATTAAACGTTTTTATGTTCATTCACGAGTTCATTTACTGGTGCATCCACCCTGCTACTCAAGCAGCCGATTCTCAGCTGATATACGGGCTCGATCAATGACCTAAACCTCATTCAACGAGTCGAGTCAGCAACTATAGGCAAAGAGGGGTGATGACCATTTAGGTGGGACAGAAACAATGGTTGACTGTGTCTAAAAATATTGGTTGCCTGGAGACAAAGGGGGGCCCCACTTAAAAGGCCAATTTCCAAGGGGACCATGGGTGTAGCCAAGGGTAGGCAGTATGGGGGGCTTGCCTCCACCTGGGCGGAAAGGTGGCTTTTGCCCCATCCTACAAGATAAAAATTGGATTTTGCCCACCCTTCCTGAGTTATAAAATTTTTGCGTAATATTTAATATTACATGACAGTACTTTCGGCCTAGTTTGACATGTAGAATTTTGTGTAAACGATATTAACTTTTTTGAGCTGGGAACGGCTAGGTGAAACACACGGAAAACTCTCTGTGTCGAGAAAATTCTTGATGAAAAGTAGCGGGGTTGAGGATGGAAAAAGAGTTTCCGCAGCAGCCAAGGCGACACACCAGACATGAAATATCGATCCACCGACCATTTTGCGCGCAGCGAAACCCCCTTATCCTGGGAAATACAGCTTCCCTTCAGCTCGCCATGGCTGGTTTCCAGTTACAGGTTCGTCCTTAAACAGACTCTTCCCTCGAATCGCCGTTTATTCGTGGTTTCACAGAAGCAATCGGGACGAGCGTGTAATTGCGACGTGATTCGATTCAGATGTTTTAAAAGGTTTTTCTTCGGTTCTCAACGGAGATTGCTGGATCAAGGGATGGGATGTACGGGTAGTGCCTCGATTGTATGGATGTCGTTTGTACGAATATTGGATTATTTGCTGAATTCAATGTTAGATTATTCGAATATTGTTAAAATCAAATTAGAATCATTAGTCATTTGAAAACTAATTGTACTGATATTGAGTTAACACAAGTATTATACTAGTTAACTTAAGGTTTATGTTTAGTAACTTTTAATTCAGTTAGAAAAAAAAAACGGATAGTTTAAACGGATAGTTCAACTTTTAGGTCATTCGATGACTTACTTGTTTGCTTCGTTATCGACTAATAAATAAACCACGTGGTCCGTGTCCCGAAGTTTTATGCCGCTGGTTATCGACTTGTTCAGACCCTGAGCCCTCGCCGAGGCCTCGCCCATGTCGTCCAGGACTCTGCTCAGTTGCCTCTGACATTCGCTGAAACAAGCATTTCCAAAAATTTATCAATGCATCTTGATATTACATCAAATTTCTAAAGATAAAAATTTCCACACATTTTAATTACTAGATTGTGAATTTTATTAATTTCTAATATGCACGATTATCTATCATTAGTATACTTAAATGTTATTTCGCTTCTGGGATTGAAAAATTTATTGATCTATGTCTGGCCGTACTGAAAAGTAAAAATTTACCCAGCACACGCGTTATCGTATAAATGATCGGACATCTTAGGTAATGCTGAAAGGGTTAAAATATTGGTTTCGGGTTGGTTATCTTACTTATCTTGCCGAGCTGATAAAACAAAACGAATAACACTGAAATATTTGTCGATTTAATATCTCACTCAGCGAGTAAATATTTTAATTTCGAACTAAAATAATCATGTAACGCTACAGTCAACACTTGAAAAACTTGTGTTCCTAATTGTATTTACGATTCTTTGTTGGTCTTCATCGCCCGTTCCACGAAACAATTATCGAGAACCCTGACCGTCGCGTTGGTGTACCTTTTCTGCCAAACACGGCGATTTGTTAATCGATTACACAATCCGATTATACGTCGACACACTCCTAAATTAGCGTCTGACTCACGGCGGCGTTTCTCGTTCCGCATACCTGGTACCGTGCAAGCTAGAACTAGGTAAAGAATCCTCGACACATGGAGCCGAGACACTTTTGAAATAATAACACTGTTTTCTTTTTACATAATGAATGTGCTACATCGATCAAGATTTTCGAGGTGATGCTATTTAATTCGGTGGAGCAAAAATGGTCGTCTGAACAGATTAACACTAAAGCTACCAACAATAAACGTATATCAGGTAATTCCACGCGAAGTCGGCGTCACTTTTTACGATAACATTTCAATTAATTTTCATATGGTCAACTTTAAAGTGTCCATATTATTTCAAATTTGCCAATCAAATACCCACATGTACCAGACATATTTCAGGTGACACAGTTAGGTGAAATACTGTAGGTATATTAATCAAGGTTTATACACACTAACATCCCAGATAACACATGACTCGATATTGACAATTACTAAAATTTATGTTAAATAAATATTCGATTTAAGATTTATTTCAGTACTCGAAATAAATTTTGCCAAGTGGTAGAAAGCCTTTTTCTTACGCCACTTTTTCTCTTCGTGACTTTGATTTCCAGAACCCACCCTGGAGGGGAAAATGTCGCTTTTCATTAACAAGCTGTATACACCCGTGTTCTCGAGAAAATACCAAGTATATCAACAAGCAAACCTATTTAATGTATCTATGATTATGACTGTGCATATCTACGACTGTTTTTACCTCATACAGCTATGTATGGTGCACATGCTATACTTTATTTGCTTCCTCTCCTTAGGTCACTTCCCACTTGAACGATCGATCGTAGCTTAAGTTAATGTGTCGTGGGACCCGACCCAATTCTGGAGTTGGAGTCGAGCCAATCGGGCACTTTACAATGCAAATTATGATGGATAATCGAGACGATGTAATGTTTTCATAATGCATTGAAACAACGGCGAACGTTGATGGATCAGCGGGCGCCACGTGAGAAGTCTCACGTGCTTTATCGATCACAGGCTTTATTTGTGTTGCACATTTGCATCCTCATTATTTTCTCTTTTCCAATTCAATCTCTTTTCATTTTATCATGTTTAATATCCCTTTACGTGCTGCGATTGGTAGCCAACGCTACCGCGGGAGCTTGAGCCGTCAGACCCGCGCGCTGATTGGTCGGGGTTTTTCTTTAATATCTCGTTAACAAAGCCTCGGATAACATTTTTGCTGAGGAAAAACTTGTTACAAATCACCTCACGAGTGACCCATTTCTGGGACCTGCAACATTTTTGTTACACCCTGTATACGAATAGTCGAGTCGAAGAGTTAAGGCCCATTTATGCACGGTTCGGGTAGTATAACCGGGCAGAAGGTGGTTCTATAAGAAGAAATAAATCAAAAAACAAGAATAAACTCTTTTTATACGAGTCTTCATTTTCGAGCAACACCACTTGGAAATTTCATCGAGGTTGCGTGGTATTCGATTCGTGAAGACAATAAGTAGAAACGGAATGTAATGAACAGACGCGTTAGTCAAGTTCTAATTGCACGCATATTCAGCACATTTTCAAATTCGATTATCTCGATAACAAGGCATCACAGGAAAAAAGTTTATTCTATATTTTCGGTTTGTCTTTGTATATAGAATAACGTCGTTGGTGTTGTAATTATTATAATACTGCTGTTCATGCTGATCTTATTAATTTTATGTGTAATTAAATACATCCATATTTATACTTCCCATAAATGTGGTGTAATAATGACCTTATTATGATTGTTATATTTCATTGTATGCATATTTTTACTATTTGTATTCGTACGGTTACGTGTTTAATAAGGCATATTCTCATTATTGTTATTATGGATGTGAAATTATGCATAGAATCGTTCTAAAAGAACCAGATTGCGAGTTACAATGATAAATTATTATCGTCGCGAAAGGCTTAATAATTTCCTTTCAAGCATTAAGCAACGATCACAAACACATATTATGATGCTGACATAACATACTTTGCTGTAACAACATAGCCGTGATTCAAATTGGCACGATAATGGAGCACGAGGGAGAGACTGGTATCCCCATAGTGTGATCACGTCGAACTATGACGTGCGGGACGAAAGGCAGGAAATAGTTGACTGATTTATTTCGATTAAATTCAACTGCATATCGTTGGTTTGCTAAAAGAGTGTGCCGCAAGTAAGTAACTTTTCCAGGAAGGAAAGGAAATTCTTCAGGAAAAGTCAATTTTACAGAAAGAAAAGTAAATATTTCAGGATCTTAATTTGATTACGTTACAATTAACCACCGTAGGCATTTCACGTACCACGTAGTATGTGTAGTGAGTTATCTAGGTTAATACGATGGCTGATCTTCACTCAGGAAACATTACGTGCACGTTCGATGAAGGATCAAGGTGATCAGGTAAGTCGATTTATCGTTCGTTCTCCATCGATGGAGGGCATGGATCTTGATTGCTCTTTTTACACCGATAATATAACGCCAGGGAGAAACTGTTATCGAGGAATTTGGAAAGTGTTCAACTAGTTGAACGCGTTACATTCTAATACGATTTGCATCACTCCCACAAATTTACATTCTTTCGTAAGAATTTTCAATACTTAGAGAAAGTAAACTGCCTGAAGCAGATACAGGCAAGACTTGGAAGAAATCGACACGGACATTGTGCCTTGGACTACAATCATAGAGTACACTTGGGGTACAATCGTACCCTTTGCATCCCCAGCAGAGGCGGTACGCCTTTTGAAAGTTGTTCCCCGTCAAAAAAAAAAAAGTACAATTGTATTCTACGGATACACTCTAGTTTTAATAACTTTAATGCAATCTCTGTGAATTTGATAGATTCTCCACTGGTATTAATAGGAGTTTAAGGGTCTCTAAGAATCATAATCAACATTTTTTTATCTTTTCATAATTATTTAAATATGGTAAAAAGATCCTCCTTTATGGAATGTCTATTTGAAACTTTTTGTAATTTGCTTCATTGTTGCTACAATAGAATCCAGATAGTTACCATTATTGCCATTATCGTATCGATCTGGAGTGGGAGAATAGGACGAATAACCGCGGCACAATTTCATCATCGACTTCCGCGAACGTGGCGAGTCATCGTTGAAGAATTTACAAAGATTCGAACGGAGTTCACTTCCCTGGTTGCGAAATAGTAGTCTATTACGATGTGAAAAAGTTCAATGACGCGTGTGATGCAGTGGTGAGAAAATATACGGAACAAACGAAGGAAGCCAAGTAGTGAAACGCCTCATTAATAAATAATAATTCATTTCGTGTTTAATTATTTTTAGAACTCTTCAGAAAACTTTTTCCTGTTCTTTACTAGAGTAATAGACTAATTGGCGGTTTCAGTTTTAAGTTGAACTGGATAAGTGTCAAATACCCACAAAAAAGTGGTAGTCGCGTCCTTACATACTCTCTGGTCAATGTGAATGTTAGTTGAGTGTGTGCAATGAAACCGAGCAATTTTGTGGTTGAAAATTAGAGGTACTGAGGGTCAATCGGAATGCGACTGGCCGGTTCTCCGAAGTCAATACTAGTTGGCAAACGACTCTCACCTACACAGCTATGCGACAGCGTTACGCATTATGCGGTGATCTTGTTCTTAACAGGTGTATCGTTCTATTTGCTTTCAGTCAAATAACTAAATATTAATTTACAAGAAAAATTTATTTCTAGTAAAATGTACTCTTATAGAAATTGTAAGAAATTTTTGTTTACAATGTATGTTTCCTGTACTATTTTTGTATTCATTATACACTGTAATATTGTACTTGTTTTATTCGCCTAATAATGTGTAAAATTTTATTCAAAACTATACTTTTCTGGGATAATTTGTATTCGTTACATCTATTCTGTATCATTTTGTCTTTGATTCAAATAATTAAGAGATCAAGATTCAAACAAATAATGACGTCAGAATAGGTAGACCATCAGAAATTGAATATCTTTTTACATAAGTCATTAGGGCCGTGGCAATCAACACATCAACGTTAATTTCACTTGGCCACCTGAGCTCCAGTAAGAGGATCTAGTGATCTAGGATAAGAGAACTGATGACGCCAGAACAGGCAGATGATAGTGCAATTTAAATGTCCGTGGTATTACAAAGATTCCTTGCATTTAAATGCCCCCAGAGAATTCGAGCCACGCCAACGCGTGTATCCGTTTCATTGACATTTTACTTTCGCCATCGATTTACCGGCAACATCGGACCAATGCGACAGTGTCAATACGCTCGGTTTATTCATGTCCCGCCATGGGCGAGCCCGAATTATGATCCGGGAAGTCATCGAGACGCCAAGAATCACTTCAGATTACAGTGCTTCGTGTCATCGGCGCGAAGTGAAAGTGCCGTGAACGTTCCATATTACAAGGCAACCTTGAAGATGACGACCACGATAAGTAACGTTTCTTACGGAATATCGATTTTTCTGATAGCTGAATTTTCAAATTACCGCTATGCATACGAATCATTGGAGCATCTAAGGTACTGCATATTCGGTTTAAACGTGCACAGACAACTTGTTTGTCTAATTTTTAAGAATATATAAACCTTATGTTGTATAATATTTTTTTAGAAAATGCCTATTTGCAGATTTCAGTGTCAAGTTTATCTTGTAAATGAGAACAATACGCGTTCAAAGAGATATATGAAGTGTAATAATTATTTTATGATATATTAATTATTTGACAATGATTATTAAGTGTAATTTGTTTACAATAAACTACAATGATAATTTTATTATTATCATTCTATCTGTACCGTTTGAAATAGTGCATTTTTTTTTTACTGAAAGGTAGTTATTTTTCTTTACAGCATTTTGTCTATTCTGTGTATTGTATTTCCTAGTTTTTTATATGTATTCTCGTTTGTGTACTTGAACCGAACGTATCGTATATTCAATGTTAAATAAATACAATCCATATTTCATATACATTCAAGATAGTATATTCCTTAAACAATGTAAAAGGGTTGAAAAAATCACCTACGTTAGGTTCAGACGAAAGAATTGAAGAGACAATATATCGATGAAGAAGTACTTACTTCAATTCTCGACGATCACCTTTGAAGTCTTCTGGAATAAGGGTATGCGTGACCTTGTTGATCTTCTTGGGTAAGAGTTTATTCACGTTGAACTTGAACTCCATCTCGTCAACGTGTTTCACGCCGGGCCTGTTTCGCCAATTTACACGCGTGATACGCTGGACAATTGATCGTTAGCCTTCCAGTGCTCTTGTCACTTCACCAACGTATCACCTTCCGAATATTTATTTTTTTTTTTTTCGAACCAGTATCCCGGTGAGTCTAGTGAATATGGCGGTCAACGGCACCCACCGAGGCAACTTCACCGCGTGTTTTCCGAGGAAATTACGAACGGCGTACTTTATCGGTTGTTCCTCGAGACGGTTCACGTCACCGCGAAACGCGTGGAATTGTCAAACGACTTGAGTTTTCCTGGCTGTCACGTTCGTTGTCACATAAATTCCCTCGAGTCACGTGGCTCCGACACGACAACTTCTATTTTCGTTTCTCGATGTCACAAGCTCGAGTTTACCGTAGGCGTCATCCGCGAGAGTGAATCCTCGAATCGTCCGATCGGGAATACAATAACAAACTGTGTGTACCTGTCACGATGACGAGCAGTTCACGCAAGACGCCGTACAATTCCTCGAATCGATCGGAGCTGTACGGACCCTGCTTACTTCACGGCTCGTAGCCGACTGATATCCATTGCACTCGAGTAATCCTTTTTCCAGTGTCGGGGTAAGGTGGCGAGAGAAGTTAGGCGACATGCACGGCTGTATCTCTGATAATCTGACAGCTAACCGATATGACGGCGAATGCAATACAAAGGCGTTTACCCCGTGGAATGTAATCGGTTTTTTTTTCGGCGATTCTTGTGGATCATGGGCGAAGATGTTTCGTAACGGTATCGGGGAAATAAAATTTAACGTTGACACGATGTTTCACCTGATGAATCGCTGGAAGTCCCACAGTTTACTGGCGAGCGGTACGTTCAATTTTTTACTGAAAGCCGCGAGTCGCGCCGAGGTGCGCGCGCAGACTAAGCTCTCGAAGCGTGACGATTGATATCGCGCAGGCGTCAATCAGATTCTTGCTTTTATTTAAATAATCGTGATCATTGAATCAATGCAATTCGATAAACGTAAAAAATAATATTCTTCATTACTAAGCTGACATTCAAGAATAGAAAAAAAAATAATTCTATGCGTCGATTAGTTGAAGTTTTTCTTGTATTTTAAAATATTATATTGACAATTGTATATATCTGTTATTTCATAGTTTTTATGTCCAAAAATCTGATGTCATCAAAGTGATATCGGATTTTCAAAATGTTGTCGATTGCTTTACGGTATGGTTTCGTTGACGAAAACCAGATGTCGATAGACACCAGATTAAGGCGCAAACAGGTACAGTTAGAGATTAATTGATACCAGTAAATACAAGTACATTACTCGATACTTTTGTTACGATACCGAGTACTTTTGGTATCGATACCTGCGGTTGCGATACCAAGTAGGTATCGAACAAAAGTACTCGTATCGAATGGCCAGTATCGACCTGTGTAGTAGCTTGGTAGGAGTCATAGAACCCCCGCGACATGCATAAGTGCGACCTTGTGAAGGAGAAAGTGGGGTCATAGAACCCCAAGACCGTACGTAAGAGATCACGTGGTGTGAAGATGGGGTCATAGAAACCCCGTAACAATGTAAGAGACCCCAAGGGAGTGAGGTTTACACCACTGAACGGGCATCATTTTTTTCATCACGTATGAAATTCGAAGTTTAAAGAACGTAGATTAGTACTCTCTAACGGCTGGGAACTATTAATAATGAGAACATCATTAAAATCACAATTATCTGCAACTGTTGACACTGTCTCGTCATGCGCACCTCCTATAGTACACTTTGAATAGTTCTTACAGCGTTATACGGATAGATTGCGACTTGCTCAAGCATTCGATTTGAAGCTTAAAGAACGTAGATTAATCCCCATATATTAATAATAACAATAACGGACCAGAACACTGTTAAAATCGCAATTAATCGCGGAATACCACTGTTTTTTTGACCGGTGGCGCCGCCCGTGGCAAATCGCTCAAACTGCTAGCCAAATTATACCGACAGGTGAGTGAATTTTCTGGCGGTGGAAAAATGCTAATATCTCAGTAATTAGGAGCTCACAATAAACGTCCTTAGTCTCAAATTGTTCCTGACGACTCAATACGTAGCCCCAATACTGCAGAAACGCAGAATTAATCAAATTATTTATGTATATGTTAATGAAGACCCTTATGGAGTGGTAACCCCAATCGCAGCAGGTTACAATCACGTTTATATCGTTAAACGAGCATAACTTTTCATTCCCAGGCTTTGGATTCCAAGATCAAAGAACGTAGATTAATATCCTGTAGCGACTGGGAACCAATAATATTAAGAACATCATTAAAATCGCAATTATCTGCAACGGTTGACACTGTGTCTCGTCATGCGTACGTCTTTTAGTTCACTTTGGACCTCTCTTACAGCGTTATGTGGACAGATATCGACCTAATTAAGCATTCGATTTGAAGCTTAAAGAACGTAGATTAATCCACGTCTATTGAAAATGACTATAAATGACCAGAACACTGTTAAAATCGCATTTAATCGCGGAATACCACTATTTTTTCGACCGGTGGCGCCGCCCATGGCAAATTGCTCAAACTGCTAGCCAAATTATACCGACAGGTGAGTGAATTTTCTGACGGTGGAAAAATGCTAATATCTCACTAATTAGGAGCTCAAAATAAACGTCGTTAGTCTCAAATTGTCCCTCGGGACTTAATGTATGGACCCAATAGTGCAGAACCCCTGAATTAATAAAATTAGTTATGCCTGTATTACCGTAACCTCTTATGGGGCGACAACTTGATTGTAAAATATTTCGATCGCATTTACACCGCTAAACGGGTATGTTTATTCTTCGTTTTACATTAGATACAACGTTTAAAGAACGTAGATTACTATTCTCTAACGGCTGGAAACCAGTAATCACAAGAACATTGTTAAAATCGCATTTGTTTGCAACGGTTGACACTGTATCTCGCCATGCGTACCCCGGTTAGTTCATTTTGAACAACCCTTACAACGTTATACTAACAACTTTCGTCCTGACCAAGCATTCGATTTGTAGCTTAAAGAACGTAGATTAATCCCCTCTCATTGACAATAACAATAAACGACCGGAACATTGTTAAAATCGCATTTAATCATGGAGTACCACTATTTTTTCGACCGGTGGCGCCATCCGTGGCGAATCGCTGAAACTGCTAGCCATATAATTGGTTAGCAGTTTCACCGATTCGCCACTGATGGCGCCACCGCTCAAAAAAATAGTGGTACTCCGCGATTAAATGCGATTTTAACAGTGTTCTGGCCTTTTATTGTTATTATCAATAAGAGTGGATTAATCTACGTACTGTCAGCTACAAATTGAGTGCTTCAGCTAAACGAAAGCTGTCCGTATAACGGTGTGCGAGCTGTGTAAAGTGAACTAACCGGGGTACGCATGACGAGATACACTGTCAACCGTTGCAAATAAATTGCGATTTTAACAGTGTTCTGGTCGTTTATTGTTATTTTCAATGACAGGGGATTAATCTACGTTCTTTATGCTTCATAGCAAATGCTTGATCATGCCGAAATCTGTTTGCATAACATTGTAAGAGCTATTCAAAGTGAACTATAGGAGGTGCGCATGACGAGACACAGTGTCAACCGTTACAGATAATTGTGATTTTAATGA